GTGTGTTTGTGTGTGTGTGTGTGTATGTGTGTGTGGGTGCGTGCGCGTGCGCGCGAGCGTGCGTGCGTGCGTACGTGCGGGCGTGCGTGTGTGCGCGTGTGCGTGCATGCCAAATTTTAAACTTAAGCTTTATTCCGAACTGCAGTGAAATGATTAGATTTTGGGCAGAGTCGGAACATCTTGGGGGTACTTTATAGGTGGTCATTTTTATATTTTATGGAATATGTCTGTTATTTATGTTTAGAGAAGAACATTTTTTAACTAAAAGTTACTTATCTATAATTTTTGTTCTATACAAAATTTTTTCTAAAATGGTCCGTATTCGAGAAATCTGACAAAATGTAAAAAATTCAAATTTTTATGAAAATTGTTTAAATAAAAGTTATTTGCGATAAATTCTTGTTATTTATATAATATCTCTATTTGAGATATTTGAGAAAAAGTGTAACTTTCGAATTTCGAGGAAAACTTAAAAACGGAATAGGTGGTCATTTATATATTTTATAAAATATATCTGTTATTTAAATTTGGAGAAGAAATATCTTCAAATAAAAGTTATTTCTAATATTATTCTCCATAATTTTTGTTTCATACAAAATTTTGATCAGTCTGAAGATTCAGCAAGTTGTTTCTTTGATCTTTTACAATATCTGTGCAGATTTTTGATCTCTTAAACCCACAGTTGAAATGTTAGTGCCTTCCGCAGCCTTTTCTAGCAACAGTACCGCTCCCTAAGTGAATACTAGAGATCTTTCTTCGCCCATCAGATTTAGTGATTGATGTGTCTAATTCTATTTTGCAAACCAGTTATTGCTATGCTTGCTGTTTGACAGTTTACATAGGCTTTTCCAAAAAATTCAGCAATATCATAAGGTCCCAGAGGGCGCTCCCATATTTGAATTGCTTCGATGTAATGACTCTTTAATGTCCCCATTGTTTTATGCAAAGGCTGCAGTCTATGTGTTGCGTAAGGAGGAAGGCAGACTATAATAATGTAGTTTTCTCTTGCCAGGTCTATAATTTTAATATTTCGCGTAGGCAAGTAATGTCTGTCCAAAAGAAATAATACTGGAGCTCTTCCAAAGGTTTAGTACATTTTATGAAGTGCTTAAACCAGTAAGTGAACAAGTTGGTTTGTACCCAGCTCGAAGGATAACATGTACCCAAAGTTCCAGCAGGTGCCCCACGCATAAGGGTTTCAGTCATATTTTTCCGGTGAAAAAATCATCATAGGGGGTATGAATGTACCCTCTACGCTCATACAGCAAATAATGATTACCAATGAACCTCTTTTAACGGCTGTCAGCGCACCGATTTGTCATCTGAGGTATTTTGCTTTGTACTATGGACAAACCCGTCTCATCCACATTGAAAATACGGTCTGGCTCATATTTTTTCCGATCATATTCCATCTCAAGAATATCAAAAAATTTACCGACGGATTATTTATTAAAGCTATTGGCTCTGGCGTAAAAAGTTCCAGCAGGCTTATGAACAGACAGTGTATCTTTATGACGCAGTAAGAAATTGTCCAACCAAATACGACCAGCTTCTGATTTGTCACCAAATGGATGATTCATTCCGTTTCTTAAAGCTAGCTGATAAGCTATTATTTTAACGTCACGGCGAGTAAGTCCGTAATATTTAATAATAATAATAATAATAATAAAACGTCTTTATTAAAATTTTTTAAAATTACAAAAATGCAATGTAAGGGCGAGATTTAGCCTACAGCTATTCTTCCATCTAACCCTTTTAGTAACAGGATCGATAAATAATAATATAAAAACAAAAACTATAATAAACCTATAATAAAAATTAAAAAAAAACAAACATTTAACTAAACTGTTAATGCAAATAAATAATAATTGAATTACATATTAATAAATTAAACTAAAAATAACACAATTTGTATACACAATTTAATTTGATCATCGTTGTTGATGAAGCAGGATATTTTTGAGCTTACGCTTGAAACCAGTATATGAATGGGTATTCTTTAAATCATTGTCAAGTTCATTGTAATATTTAATAGCACAGTAAGAGAAACTGCGTTCAAAAATAGCATGTGTGTGGCGGGGCATTGTTAACGTGGATTGTTCACGTACATTAATATTATGCATTTGATTTCTGTAAATTAACCTACGAGAGAGTTATATTGGACTTTGAGTGTGTATTATTTTGTGCACCAATGATAGCAAATGATACTTATACAGATTACTAATATTTAGCCACCGAAGTTCTTTAAAGCTTTGGGAAATATGATCATATTTGCGTAAACCAAATATGTATCGACAACATGTATTCTGAATTTTTTGAAGCCTTATAGATGTTATTAAATCTAGACAAGGATAAAAAATTATATGACAATAAGAAATTTTGCTAAGGATTAGAGTTTCACATAAGTATTTTTTCATATTCATTGAGAGCAAATCTTTATTAGCGTATAGAAGTTTGAGAATTAGATAACATTGAGTGGACAAACTGTTGATATGTTGAATAAATCGAAGATTCTCATCCAGTAGTAAGCCCAGACTTCTGGCTACATGTACCATAGGAATTGTCTCATCATCAAGTTTTATGGAAAAATTATTTTTAATATAAGATCGAGATTGGGCATTAGAAAATATGATTGATTTGGATTTTGATGGATTTAAATGCAGATTATGATCCAAGGAAAATGTTTTTATTCTAGCTAGGTCCTTATTAACCGCTTTACTTGCTACCTCTGCATTAATGGAATGAAATGAATGGTGTAGTTGGGTATCGTCAGCAAAAAACTGGATTTTACATGTCAGAGTTTGTTCACACAAGTCTGACGTATACAGAAGAAAGAGTAAGGGACCTAAGACGGAGCCCTGTGGTACGCCTGATTTTATGGACTCAAATCCAGATGGTTGAGGGTGTCAAATGCTTTACTATAGTCAAGCAACACAAGAGCTGTAGCTTGACTATCATCCAATCCAGTTATTATAGAATCAGTTAAGTGACATAGAGCTGTTGTCGTACTGTGTCCTTTCCTAAATCCTGATTGGTGTAAGGGCAATATTTTATTTGAAGTGAGAAAGCTATAAATTTGCTTATACGCAATCTTCTCTAAAACTTTAGAGAGAACCGGAAGCAAACTTATAGGCCTCAAATCGTTGAATGATAGAGGGTTATTTTTTTTAGCCACTGGTACAACAACTGCTTTTTTCCACTGATCAGGAAAATAACCTTGTTCTAAACAACAGTTAATAATATGTGTAATATACGGTAAAATGACTGGCATACATAATTTAAGCATATCCAGAGAGATGTTGTCTGCTCCACTGGCATTCGATTTAACTTCAACAAATGTTTTCAGAACAGCATCCACGTCTACAAGACTAAATGTAAAATTATTGTTATTAATATATTTATGAGTACGATAATAAGCCGTTTTTTCACTACACTGGACATTGCTGTTTTGGTAAACCGCTACAAACGCTTCATTTATCTTGAAGGGGTCTAGTAACTCGTGAGGTATGTCATTGTTTTTTGAAACTTGCATATTCATTGTTTTTAAAGTTTTAAAGAATTTTGACACTCCCTGTCCACTTACGTAACGTAAATATGCAGCTTTTTCATTTTTTGTAGACGCAACAGCAATATTTCTAAGGCGTTTTTAGTGATCCCATGCTTCAGGCGTTTGAACACGCTTAAAGTTAACCAGAGCTCTATTACGTTCTTTGTAAATATTTTTTAAATTTTCCGTTAACCAAGGAGCGCAAGGTTTGCTAACTCTAACAGTTCTGTAAGGACAGTGAATATCAAATAGCTGGGTAATATTGTTAGAAAGAAATCGAACTTTACTTTCTATATCTCTTATAGAGATTAGGTCATGCCAAGGAAAATTAGATAGATCATTGTTAAAACAGTCAAAATTAATTTTTTTAAAGTTTCTAGAAGTGACAAATTTTTGTTGATTACCAGTAAGATTAAATTTTATGACGCAGTAAGCAAAGCGGTGATCAGAAAATAGGTCAGCATTTAGAGTTCCACTAGCTAAACAAAGTTTTGAATTATCAACGTAAATAGGATCTATAAGCGTTGCCGAAGTTGCTGTAATTCGTGTAGGTTCAGCTATTACTTGTGTCAATCTGTATGCTTCAAAACAATGGTTAACATTGTTATTGCTGTTAGTTAAATCTACGTTTACATCACCCATAACGAAGATATTTTTAAACTGAGGGACTATTGAAGTCAACATATCATCTAGCAAGTTAATAAAACAAGGAATAGAACCCTTAGGTGGTCTGTAAAGAATGCCTACTGACACACATTTGCTATTTATTTTCAGCTTAACCCATAAATATTCCAAGTTAGAAGATTATCCAGATGTCATAACTGGACAATGATATTTACATTTAACAAAAATTCCTACTCCACCGCCACGATTGTTACGCTCATGTCTAAAGAAATTATATCCGTCAATGTGTATAAAATTAGATGGTATATCGGCTTTAAGCCATGTCTCAGATACAGCGACAATATCAAAATCGTTATCACATACGAGAGTACAGAAATCATTAAAACCAGCTAAGATTGACCGGACATTTATATGTCCAATTTTTAGAGTGGATTTATTATTTTTACAATTTTTAGTCGTATTTAACATTACTTTTTAAATTATTTAAATATTTATTTAATACTTGACAATTATTTATATCTTTTGCAGTATGGTCACAATCGTAGCTGGTTTTGTGTACGTTGTTATGAGATACACAGTTTATACATTTCTTAATATTCGATATACAATTTTTAATAGAATGCTCTTCAGTACAAATGGGACAATTACTTTGAATATGTCCAATACCCGAACATTTGTAGCACCTTTTTATTCGAACATAATCGTCAACACGACAACATTTCCATCCTATATGCACAAATGTTTTATTTAAAAGATATTTTCTTAATTGGGGGGAAACTTCTACAATTAATTCACAGGATTTTCTTTGAGAATATTTTAAGATCGTCACTATTTTAAGATCCGAAGCTGTGAATGTATCCACTTCATTTAGGGAGAAAATATTATCAGCAATTTCTTCATGAGAAACTTTTTCATCTACGTCCACGTTTTTAATAATTAGGCGTGGATTAAATTTCGTAGGGACACTAGCAGCATATTTGGAACCGAATTCTTTATTAATTAACACTTTTAATTTTTCTAGGGACGATTCATTATTACAATTAATCACTAAACCATTTTTCGTTTTCTTCGTATTATTTATGCATACATTTAAATTAACTGGGTTAATATGTTTTTGAATATCTTCTAATATATTATCAGTTTTGAAGTTTCCTTTATTAGTACTTTTTATTATCAGACTAGAAGAAGGTAATTGAGAATTAGTCACTGGTTTTTTTGCAACATCGCTGTAAAAAGCAGAACTGTTCGTACTAGGAGCAAAAAAGTTCGACATCGGTGCGGCATGTTTCTCGAATGAGTTGATTTTATCTTTTAGTAGATTATTATTTAATTTTAGTTCTTCAATGAGATCGTTTAAGTTTTTATTTTCTCGTTTTATATATTCAAGAAATATTACTTTTTGTTTAAGGTCGGGCAAATTGTCCGATTTAGAATGACCATCATTATTAAGTAGACATGACTTACATTGCCACTCCCATCTATCTGCTAAAAACACCTTTGCAACTGCTTCAAAACACTTGGTATGAATTACAACATCACATTTATCATTTGCACACTTTACACCACTTTTTCTTATGCTGGATGAACAAATAGCACACAATTTATCAGAGCGATCCGACAACAGGTCTGTATCGCCTGCCATCACATTAAATCTGTCCATCTGTCCATCAGAACCAAATGTTTCACTAAATCATTTTCAATGTGTATGAAAAGGACTGGTTTCCTACTCAACTTTTATCTACAACTTCCTCTGGTATATATGCTTCATCGTGCACAAGTCGCTGGAGTGTTTTTTGGGCACGTTAAACCTTTTCACAGCTTTCTTGTGCCCAATTGTCTAAGCACAAACTAATTTAACAGCTTCAGTCATAGCATTCTTGTCCCAGGTTTTCTTTTTGGATTTGGTTTTTGGTGTTAGTAACCTGCGAGGTATCTCAGCAACTGCAATTTAACACACCCTGGCGGTTCCATATTATCAAATTACATGCGTCAATAAATAGCTTAGCAAAATTTTCTGAAGCATACCAACTGCAAACTTACCTATTACGTTGTCACAAAAAAATCTTGTGGTATCGTGACACCACAACCAAACAATAAAAAAATCGCACATAAATCACTTTTACATTGAAACGAACCTGTACCAAAAAAATTTTGGGTTCACTTGTTTACATCTAAACTGTCACTGTTGGATTTCTGTTTTACCGGTATGTGCTATAGTTTTCTACATGCTTCAACTATGACTGACAATTGAAATTCAGTTATTTTAAAAGTAAATGTCACTACCGGTCCAGAATTAACCAAGGTTTCCATATTACCAGCAGGGTTTCATATTACCACCTTTTCCTCTACTAAATGATTAAAAAACGTAAGTCTTTGATATATAGTTTTAAACATGATATTTCATCTGGCGAAATCTCTTTGGATCCTGAATCCACCTCTGTTACGAAGGTTTTTAGTTAAGGACCAAAAGTGCACCGCCAACTTTGTTTATTTTTATGGTCGGTTGTTAGAATAAAAATCTGAATAATGAAGACACTCGGAATATCGCAGAAATATCTGCATCCGCTGCTAATAAACGTGATGGTATCAGGTAAAATATGTATACCAACTGAAGGAAGAAATAAGAATAAATTAAAAATTAATCTCAAATTAAAATCTTTCCGGGAATGTATCTATTATTTTATATTCATATTCCAGTTTTAATTAATAAATAAGCTTTTGAGATCGATGTTGTAATTAAAAGAGAAAATAATAGTATATTGTATAGAAAGTTACCAATTCCACACGATGTGTGAAACTTATGGCACGAGCGAATGTGAGTGCCATAATCACACGAGTTTGGAATATATTTTTGCATAAGTGGTATACTATATTTTTTCTACGACAAACAGTGCCTAAAATTAAAATTTCACATTTTTTAAAATAATTTGATGAACTTTATTAACGATTTAAAATTAGAAATATTAAGAGGTGGTAAATATGTATGTTGTCACTTTTTAAATTTGTAATATATTTGCTTTTCTTGAATCTAAATTTTAAAATGTATAATTTATTCACTAATTTTTGTTTGTTATGTCTAAATCTTACATTAGGAATTTGTAGTGTACCTACCCAGTTATTATTTTTTAATTTTTTATTAAAAATCGAGTAAATTAACCATAATGTAGAAGATTTAAAATGCTTCCATAGCTCCCCAAAATAAGACATTAAAATGTTTTTTAAAGTGGTCTACCTTATTTTGTTGGCACGAATTCATAAATCTTTTATAATGTTATTTGCTATTTCTTTAATATGTAATGGAGTATTCTCAGGCAGTACACTTTGGAATAAATTACGTTTTTTTAGGTACTACCATACGTATGAATACGGTTGATGTACTACCAAATATATTCGTGTAAATGTCCGCCTTATAAACGTCGATTACTAAGAATTTATCCACCTATAATTAAACGTTTTTACTATACGTCTATATTAGGTTTATAGTTGTATATTTATACGAATCCACTTTGGTATAAAATACGTTTTTTTATGTACTACAATATACGTATTGATACCATTGATATGCTACCCAATATATACGTGAAAATGTCCGCCCTATAAATGTATATTTTTTTTATTTTTTATACGTTTAACATACTACTTTATCTACCTTTAATTATCCTGTTTTACTATGCGTCTATATTAGATTTATCTTACATATATTTGTATGATTTTTAGTAATGTGTAAAATGCGTCTACTTGATAGTTTTAAATGTATTTCAAGCACAAATTAAATAAAGTAATCAAAACAAAATTTCTAAAAGAGGCCATGGAAAAATGTTAATATTTCTTAAATGACAATTGGGATTTTATCCATAGCAGGTGTGTATACACCAGAAATAGGTATTACTCGTGTTTCTATTTTGTTTGTAATTGGCCTAAATATTTAGATTTTTTTTTATTACTTGTTATATATAAGTATACAGAACAATATTTTATTAAAAAACATTAAAATACTAAAAAATAAATGGGTACTAAAAAATAAACACTAAAATACTGAATAACAAACTAAACGAAACTTTTCTTTAACTACCAAAAAATATATATGAAAATTAAAATCTTTGGATGTGTTGTGTCCAAGACGAGCTAACTTAAACTAATCTTGCATGGCACCTTATTCCTATAACCAAAATGTAACTCAATTTCAGGTGAAATATTTTCTAAAAGCTCCGAAGTTAAATTTGTATTATTTTCTTGGAAATTATTATAAATAATAGAATCAGATGATATATTAATATCCAAAGCCTTATTAACCCATTAGCGCCTGGAAAATAAAAAATGCTATTTTTTTTTGTCACATTTAGTATATTTTAGGTAAATAGAGGTTAAATAAACTGAAAAAGTATTTTTACAGTGTAAAAAACATAAACTCGCTTTTTTGTGATTCTTGTTTCTGGTTTGTGTGTCAAAATCACAAGTCAAAATAGTGAGCAAAAAGTAAAGAAAATGGAAAAACTTTTAATAATAAGGGGTAATGGCACTGAAATGCAGCATATACCACAAATGCCCATTTCGCTCTCATACTCCATGCCTGTGATTACTGGCGATTAGATCTGGACAGAGAAAATGTATTTTCCAAACACACATTTTGTGTTTTTTATGACGAATAATTTTAGCTATAAGATAAAAGCGGCTAAGTAATTTGTTGACTTCTTGTCTGATCTTTAATTTTGAGATTCAAATTTACTTGTAAGTTAGTTAAAAAGAGATAGGTAGAGACAAAGACAAATTTCTCCCTCTTCTTGATCCATCTGTTCTGAGAAAATCGAGCTCGCTCTATGTTTTCGCTCCAAAGAAAAACAAACACTATAGGGATCTCTCGGAGTGTCAATTCAAACACGTTTGCAGCGTTCGGAGATCTCCGATGATCAAATCAAACGCACCACATATCTATGTACAAATCATGCGCTGTATGCAATTTTTGTGCAATGTTGACTGAGTATAAAGTTAACAGAATGACAAATGACATGTCACCACGAGAGGGGCGTTTGATTTGAAACTCGATCGAGCGAGCGTCGAGGAGACCGAGAAGTGATGGCGTCACAATAGAGCATTGAATCAAATCAAATAAAACAGAGTAAAAACATAACCTCGCTTTTCTGTGATTCTTGTTTCTGGTTTGTATGTTAAAATAGTGAGCAAAAAGTAAAGAAAATGGAAAAACTTTTAATAATAAGGGGTAATGGCCCTGAAATGCACCATTTACCACAAATGCCCACTTCGCTCTCATACTCCATGACTGTGATTACTGGTGATTAGATCTGGACAGAAAAAATGTATTTTCCAAACACACATTTTGTGTTTTTTTATGATGAATAATTTTAGCCATAAGACAAAAGCGGCTAAGTAATTTGTTGACTTCTTGTCTGGTCTTTAATTTTGAGATTCAAATTTGTTTGTAAGTTAATTAAAAAGAGATAGGTAGAGACAAAGACAAATTTCTCCCTCTTCTCGATCTTTCTACTCTTGGTGCATTTGATTTGATCATCGGAGATCTCCGAGCACTGCAAACGCGTTTGAATTGACACCCCGAGAGATCCCTAAAGTGTTTGTTTTGCTTTGGAGCGAGAACATAGAGCGAGCTCGATGTTCTCAGAGCAGATGGATCGAGAAGAGGGAGAAATTTGTCTTTGTCTCTACCTATCTCTTTTTAACTAACTTACAAACAAATTTGAATCTCTAAATTAAAGACCAGACAAGAAGTCAACAAATTACTTAGCCGCTTTTGTCTTATAGCTAAAATTGTTCGTCATAAAATACACAAAATGTGTGTTTGGAAAATACATTTTCTCTGTCCAGATCTAATCACCAGTAATCACAGGCATGGAGTATGAGAGCGAAGCGGGCATTTGTGGTATATGCTGCATTTCAGGGCCATTACCCCTTATTATTAAAAGTTTTTCCATTTTCTTTACTTTTTGCTCACTATTTTGACCTGTGATTTTGACAATCACAAGAAGCGAGGTTATGTTTTTTACTCTGTTTTATTTGATTTGATTCAATGCTCTATTGTGAAGTCATCACTTCTCGGTCTCCTCGACGCTCGCTCGATCGAGTTACAAATCTAACGCCCCTTCTGAGAACATCGAGCTCGCTCTATGTTCTCGCTCCAAAGCGAAACAAACACTTTAGGGATCTCTCGGAGTGTCAATTCAAACACTTTTGAAGCGCTCGGAGATCTCCGATGAACAAATCAAACGCACCAGAGGAAGCAAGGGCCTCTTTTTTGTCTTGATTGGTCTCAAATTTCTGCTTCTTTTTATCTGATAGAAATGTGAAACATAAATTCGTTAAAATGTCTTTTTTAGACCTATTTTTGAATAATAATATTTTTAAATAAAATTAACTACTAAAAATATTAATAAAAACACGTTTAAAACTCAAATATCTTAAAAAATATTCTAAGATCACAAGTGGCCTCTTACACAGTTCTTCAGTAACCAACATTTTGTTGACTGCAGAATTAAATCTTATTAGGAAAAAGATTATTATTATTATTATTAAAAAAAAAATACTAATTATAAAACGAGTATAAATACCCTTTTTAAATATTTTGTCCAGTTTAATGCTTAATCATAATACTAATACAAATACTAATAATTAGGGAGTATAAATGGACCC